GTGGAGTCGCTCGGCCAATAAAGCATACTGCTTTGCTTGCCGTTTCTTCTACCCCTGCTTCGGCCCCTCCAATGCCTCATTCGTATCGTCCGGGTTCGTTAACTTTAAGAAAAGTGTAGAGAAGCTGAACAATCATAAGGCAACCGATGGCCGTAAAGAAGCTATGGTTCGGTGGGCTGCATGGAAGATGGCCGCCGAGAAGGATTGGTCAGTGTCTGCTTTGATTGCTAAGCATGACGAGGCGACATTGTCCGAAAATCGATGTTATATCAAAAACGTTTGTAAAGCTTTGTTACTTTGCGCTTTCCAAAATGTAGCCCTTAGAGGGCATTCGGAAGGACAAAATTCACCCAATCGCGGTAATTTTGCTGAGCTGATGAAGCTCATCAGCACTTTTGATCCAACCACTGCATCTAGGTTGGCCGAGGGTCCTCGCAACGCCATGTATACAAGCCCACAAATCCAGAATGGTCTGGTCAAGACCATGGGCGACTTGATTATCAAGGACATTGTTGACGAAATTGGGGAACGACCATACTGCATCCTGGGGGATGAAACTAGAGATGAATCGGGTACAGAGCAGCTCGCTCTCTGTGTGCGGTACTGCAAGCCCCAAAAAGTTGGTGGACCTTTCGTTGTCCAGGAATCATTTTTGGGGTTCATGGGTTTGGAGGATTTAGACGCTGAGGCCATAGCCGGCGCTATGCTGCAGCGGTTGGATACTGTTGGTGTCGATCCGTCGAAATGCACATCCCAGGGGTATGACGGGGCATCGGTGATGTCGGGGAGAAGGAAAGGTGTACACAAGGTAGTGCTTCGCTCGGTGAATTTTTACCAATCCACTAATACCTTTCAACAGGTTTTCGAGCAAAAATCTGGTTGCACTGCTCCATACATGCATTGCTCCAACCATCGACTGAATCTCTGCATCCAAAAATCGGTCAAGGACGTGGAAAAGGTTGCATCGTTTTCCTTCGTCATGGCCGACTAAGTCGGCCCGACTTTGACCGCTTCTTCAAAATCTCGGTTGTTCATAGCGAGTTCGAGGCCCAACAGAAGAAAATATACGGTGAAGATACGCATAAGGACGCTCAAACGGATAATAGATACGCGTTGGGGTTGCCAAGCAGATGGCATCTGCTTGCACGCGAAACAGGCATCTGCCAGATGCCTGTTCCGCGTTTACCCACGTGCTCAATCCGGTCATCGCCACGTTAGACTCGGTCGCTTCATCCCATCTACCTAAGCGGGCGGGTGAAGCTGAGAGTCTTATGTGCAAGTTGGACCATGTCTCCATCGTTATTTTGCACACTATGAATCGGGTCCTGCGGATGACCGACAAGGACTCTAAGCTCCTTCAAGATCCCTCTGCCGATCTGAGTAAGACAAGGTTACTGATAGAAGAGCTCAAGAGTTCGATGGGATGTTGTATCGAAGATACTGATAATGATGGGACCCTTTGGCAAAAAATATGGTCGGATGCTATGTCTGTGGTAGACGAGCACCAGCTCGATCAGTCGCGCCGGTTCGGCAAGAGGAGGCTAGTGCGACGCTCATCGAAATCGGAGTTGACCCTCATGGAGGATGCGCGTGAGCACCTTTTCTTACCTTTCATGGAGAGCATCCTGAGAGAGCTTAATGAGAGGTTCAACTTTTACAGCTATGCGGTGTATGATGGGGTTTGCTGCTTCAACCCCACACACTCCTATTTCCTTGACGCGACCAAGACCCGGGAGTTCGACAGACTTTATGGCTGCAATCTCGAAGAGCTCGCGAGTGAAGTTGTGATCGCATCGCCAGCATTTGAGCGACGCCAAAAAGAGCTCAAAGATGATGGTGAAGTTGGATTGGCCACGGTGCTTGATGCCGTTTCGTTCCTACATGGGCTCGAACTCGCATGGCCCACCCTTATGCACCTGGGACACGTAGCATTGTCTTTACCTAGCAGTACTGCCTCCTGTGAGCGCTCCTTCTCCGTTCTTAAATTAGTGAAAACGCATTTGAGAACCACCATGGCCGACGTCGTCGGCCCGACGAGAGGCTCAGCTCTCTGCCAACAATTTACAGTGTGGGGTATTTGAAAGATAGACTGAATACAGAAGCAGAACAGCTTCGTGCTAGCCGTAGCTTATATGAGGGACAGATTGGGTCAGACAGTTCTCACAGCACGCAACTATTGGCCGATAGAGTGATCATTATTTACGTGGTGTATTTCAAGGGGATGACATACCGTATTTCTCAGAGTCAGTGGCACTGGGAGTGGTCGCATCTGTCATATACCATTCCGCACATGAGACAGAACACGAAATTTTTAACAAGAGAAAAGGTCCAGCAACAGCATGGCATGCTTGAATGACTCGAGCCTGTTGTATATTTCGGGAAAGGCGCTTCAAGGAGACAAAATTGGCGGAATGTAAAGCAACATCAGCTGCCGAGCGACGAAATCTTTCGCGTTTTTCGGAAAAATGCAACCAATCACAGTTTCACGACTCGAACTTTCTGTGGGGAATTTCTCGTGAACAGGCCAAATTTTGGAGTTGGAATGATAGGGTGCTTCTCAGTTGAACTGATTCAGTCTTAAAGCGGGATAGTCTCCACTTAAATGTGTATACATGTCTACGTCCAACCCATGGTGTATCATCGTGGTGCACCGATGACATCGGGTTGGTCGCTCCGTGTCACCAATTCTGTCCACGGAAAAGTTTCAGTCACACATGCTAGTCCTGTATAACCCGATACACTTCAGTCTCAGCTCTCAAAAATCTGTAAACACGGACTAATCGAAAGCTACTCTACCTGACGGTCTTGGTAATAGAAATTACTCACCAAGATCATCTTGGCAAGATGCGTCACACTTCGAAAGAACCCATCACTTGTAACACGAGATGACAACATCCTTGGCATTCCACGCAGGCTTTACACCTCGTGGTTCTCATTAGTACGCCATTAACAACTCAAGAACACACTAAATCACCGGTAAATGCAAGTAATAGCGACGCAATCCGAGTACGTCATCTCGTGGTCTAGGGATGGCTGTGAAACCGCAGTAGGAATTACTACTGCTATTACACATCAGTAACAACAACAATCCATCCAACATACTTCCTCTTGTGAATAACGGAAGACGTCGGCGACAAGATGTGCCTGTTTGGCGCATACGATTAGACAATTGAATAAAGTACTCACAGCTGCTGTCATCACCGCAAAAGATGCGAGCATGCTGCATAAATTGCACTTAAGACCATTACGAGAAATACCGTGAAGTTTTATGTTACGATCATGAAGAAGAGGTGAGGGGATTTGCATTCACCACCCCACAAGGAAATGAGCTTATTCTCACTCGATTTTTTGTTATCGCTCGAGGTGATTCTTCATGACCACTACTGACAACAGACCGCCCAAAGTGCGGCTATGTAAAAAGGACGAAGCACCCTTTTAGTGGAGATGACCTATATTCTTCTGATTATGAGATGTTCTACAGTGATGACTTACTTGTGAGAGTAGCATCAATGATGACGTCGACTACATAGACAATGTACTAGAGATTATAACATAGTTGACATAAGACGGATACCATTCTTCAATCACGTACAAGAGGAGATGGTTACCAGGAGATAAATCGACGACAGAGATGAAGGATGAGGAGCGATTGAAATAGAGCCAGAGCGGTGAGGAACATCAATAACACCAGCCGTTTGAATAGAATTGCGTTGATGTCGACAACAAACAAGGATCACTGCGATACCGGGCAGAATGTGACTGCGACTTCACATAGAGTGACAAACAGTAGGAGAGTCGCAAGTTCTGCTAACCAACGACACTAACATAGGCGTCTCGATAGATCAGAATAACGCTGGCGTTGCTATTAGAAGTAGATCGAACCATGATTGAGAGATTGAGCGACATCTCACCGTGGTCGATGGCAGCTCAACAAATATACAGAAAGGATCGAGTGATCCAGCACCATAATTCTCACAGTAGATCATACACCAAGTTCGATTGTAGGATATACACACTGCAAAGCTTCAAGTGAAACTACCACTACGAATGATACCCAGTAAATAGTGATGCAGTCATTCGCTCGAGACTTTGATACATCATAGATGTACGTGACGTACAACTATAATACTCGATAGTGCACGAGCGCCTGATATACACAGATACTCGAAATCATAACACCGAGTTCACCACAACTGAGCGGATAGAAAGGCCCGCTTGTGGCGGCGAATAGCAACCAAACCTGATATATGTTGTTGCCGATTTCCCGGTTTCACTGACCAGAGACCTTAGTGAACGGTAAAGATAGACTTGCCAAAGCAACAACACGGTGTCAGCGGCGACGTCTCCCTATACAGGAGCATGTGAAACCGGTACAGAAGGGAAGAGGATTCCCAAAAGTTACCACCACACCTATCGGTCAAGCGAAGTTTGCTTGCGAACGGTTCACAAAAATAACGACACCTCATAAGAACAAGCAAAAACGCCTCCACAAGACGGCGTGAGTGAAGCTGAGTTCCAAAGTCAAATACCATTCTCAGAACGAGTCTATGGTGAACAGTACGATGTGGACAGCGTATTTGGTCGTATGGTACGAACTTGAGATATACGGAGATACAAGTGAGCAACGATGACGCTAATTATCACGGCGTCTTATAGTGATACACCAACGGCTGTCAGGCCGATAGTATTGTTGACGGCAATGTTGTAATCATAATTTTGGTAGTCTTGACGATGATGTAAAATGTTCAGAATGTAGGAATGGCTCTAATCACCTGAGCACCAATTATGATACGATCCGAGGAACAGAAAGGATTGCTTACTCAAATCTTCTGCTCTCTTCATGTAACGATTCGTTCGAGGGTCTATTTCATCTGCTCGCGCAGTTTCGACCTCTCGAAATGTCCTATCAACTAGCTCGTGGCAAGCCTGGTCCAAAACCTGGCGATCCACCGAGTCTCCATGTTCTTCCAGAAGGGCTCGTTGTAGCCCCAGTTCAAGCATCTGCTTCTGTGCTTCGAAATAACGGTCCAGATCATCATCAGAATATCTACGACAGAGAACACACACTCCAAAATAAATCGAAACAGATGTTAGATTCAACACTTACTCTAACTCTGAAGTTGAACTCATAGTACTCTCTGTTCTCGCACTCTCGCTGGCAGCCTTGGGGCTTGCCTTGCCTTGGTCACGATGTAGTAGCTGGAAGAATAGATCAGCTGGCAGGCTGGCCACGAAGGAATCAACTTACACTAAGCAGAACTTTGCTCGGATCCTCTTCATCGGCGCTAACTTGGTCAGAACGACGGAACCCGCGAGAGGATCCGTTTAAGTCGGACTTCCAGACGACGTTGGGGTCGAAACGATTATGTGGTTGAGTGAGTAGCATTATACTTGTTGAGGTTTTGATGGTTTTCTATATGAGCTTACCAGAGTCGGCAAGAACGTTTTCACAATGAGTGTGAAAAGAAGAAATACAACTGAAAAGCATAGCAATATACATTTGCTTCCAACCATCATAGAGACAGACAGCCCACTGCGACATGACTAGCCCGGAGGGGGACCACTAGTTGCCAAAGGGTTACGGCAAAGGGCCGGATGTTGTCAACGTTATCGATGACAACACTAAAGATTACAACCAGCGCAAGTTGGGCTTGAATGCAACCACCAATGCAACATGACAACTGCTCCCACTAAGCCCGAGTCACCCGAGAGCACGTAGATTAATTACATGACATCTACCAGCAGTAACGCACTTGAGGGCAACCCTGACACAAGAGCCCGACATGAAGCGGCATGAGCAACGACTACTAGCGTAAATTGGAGTTCAATGTCTCAAAATTGCGTCGCTCAAAGAATAACTTGCTCGAGGAATTTCTCGAGAAGGTGCTTACTCGAAAACCCGACGAATAGCACGTCGAAAGCAAGAGGAAATCTAGAGGATCGTTTCGGATTCTGCTAGCACGCGTGTCACCTTAGGATGCAAGGAAATGCAAGACTCCAAGTCATAGCTTGTCACTAGGAGCAAGATTTGTAGGTCAGCCTGCTGCAGTGTACCTTCTCACAGGATGTCAGTCGATGATGAAGATGATGAGGAAAGCTGCTACCGTGACTTGGAGGACTTGAACGATCACGTACGTCTCCTTCTTGACCGATCCTAGTTCACCTGAGTGTGGTACTCGCTCTTTTCAGATCTCCCTGATGTACGACCATCTTTGGTGTCGAGCCAGAGTCTTCGACAGCAAAGTGATAGAAATCTCAGAGTTGCTCTGCGACACAGCTGAGTCCGACTGGACGGACGATAAGAAAAAAGAACTCATCTTTAGAGCTAGGGTAAGCGGCGTAAGAGTCGATCTCGTCGCCGTCGAGGAGTTCGATCCCTAGTCTATCTGCAATTTCATCGGATGATTGTCGTCTTCAGAATGCATTCCTTGCACGAAGAGAGCTTCTGTCAATGCCAAGAGATCCTGTTGACGATGTTCGTAAGCCATCACCATGTGCTCACCCAGGAGGGACTGCTAACGATGCCACTGGCGCAAAGTCATCTAGATGGACCCTGTTGGATAGAGTAGAAGATGTTCTTTCTCCAAAGATTGGCAACTTGATTCAGTGAGTTGGTCGATGGCAACTACTGCTTTAATAGCCCAGCTGATGCTTTAGGTTCCAAAACAATGGTATTTCACCAGGCCTTGTGCCCATAGATCCGCTACCTTCACCGCCACCCAAGAACATACCCCTCAAGGCCGTCGATGACGTTTTCCACCTCAGAAAGAAGATCAGGGCGATCCTCAACAAAGTTACCGTAAGCAACTTCGAACGGCTCAGTGGGGAACTTGCTGGTCTAGAGGTGAGCGCGTCTCCCTCCTGTGCCAAGGATAGTCTTCAACCTTCAGCTCGACACCCCATGGGCCACTGACTTACTTCTTCACTTAGCAATGCAGCGTGCCATAGAGGAGCCCTTGTTTTCCGAGTTACACGTCAAGCTGCTCCTGGAAATTCGCGCCCGATACGTCAAGTCTGACGGGTTTTTGAACTTTGAAAGGGTTATTTTCCGAGATCAACTCGTCCACGAAATTCAGCAAGAGTTCTCGGAAGCCCTAATTGACTTGCGACTGCTCTTCGAAATACCTTCTGCGGGGCCTAAGAGTCTTCTACGAGAGAGCATAGCGTCTCGCCGCAACGATGCCCTTCAGTGTATGAGACTCCTGGGCTCTTTTTTCTGCAAGGGGCTGTTCACCCTGGAGACGCTAAAGAAGGTTGTTAATCCCCTCATCTTCGACTCTACTTCGACACCTCTTCCGTTCGAGGTGGAATGTGCCATAGTACTGTTAGAAAGTACTGGCAAGCATTTGGACTTTGGCGATGACCGCAGCAGGGCTTTCTGTTCTTGCGTGCTTGGACGACTCGTCATGCTCAAGACAACTCTCAGTGATCGTCGGTTGCGAATCTTGATATTCAACTTAGAGAAGCAGCGAGAGTCCAAATGGCGAGAAATAGCGAGGATTCGACGCCTCGGCAATTCGGAGGGTCCGTCTGGTGGATCCGGTGACAAACTGCGCTCAGCTACAAGGAAAAAGAAGGTCCAGGGTCTCAAGGGCAGCAAGTTCTTCGAGGTGTTCACGGAGGAGAGTTTCCGCGCGTGTAGAGACATGTACCAGGAAGACGGCAGTTTAGAGAAGTTCGTGTCACAGGCTGAGGCCATGATCAAGCACGATGCTTCATGTGTCCGGAATATGGTTGACCTACTTCTTCGGTGGGGTCCAGCGGCTCTTCATAAGAAGAAGTCTAAAGAGGCTGACTTGATTGCTGAGTTGGTGCTGAGGGGCTTTCTGCCGTTCGAGCTCCTCGATGAGACACTTCGAGCCTTCCTCCAGGACCTTGACGAGAATTGCGCACGTACAAATCCGACTTATGAATTCGTGGAGAAGTTGTACGCGGTCCTGCTCACGGCAGATTATGGGCACCCAGATGGCCCTACACAATTCGATTCGGCATTGTTTCTCTCATGGGAGGTTCTGCACTCAGACAGTAAAGCCTTTGATATGGGTTTGGGAATCCTGCGGCTTGTGAAGGAGCGTGCTGGTCTGGAGGGTGTGCGCAAGTCTCTGGCAGCACTACGACCAGTGGCGGGACCATTTACTAGTGAACCCATGAGGGTTGTGGCGGAGCCTGAAGGGTTCTGGGATCCTCTACCGGAGCACGAGATAGATAATACAGTAGACTGAGCTTGTATCACATACGATTCCTTTAATAATCATAGCGTGCCGCTGTATTATGATGTTTCTAAGATGACCTGAATGTAGTGTTCACAGTTAGGAACAGTGTGGGAGAGTATGCACACGGTCAACTATGCACATACTTTGGGGAAATTTAACTTCTACCAGAGTTCGTGTGTACATTCGTATAGTTGCTGAAGAACTTCCTGAACTCGGCTGAGGAAAACGAACATATATTATATATAATCCAGCACTGGTAGGAAGTTCTATGCATCGTATTCTAAAGGTAGTCTGTTTCGAAGACTACACCTTTTCCCGTGCAAGTTTGACAAGTGAGCAGACAAGAATGACAATGTTACCATCAAGAGTGACAATGAGAATCCAAGTTTGTCACAATTCAATTCTGTTACGATCAAGTTTAACTTTGAGAATTCAAGTATGTCACAATCGAGATATGTTACCATCAAGATTGACAATGAAAATCCAAGTTTGTCAAAGTTCAATTATGTTACCATAAAGATTGACAATGAAAATCCAAGTTTGTCAAAGTTCAACTATGTTACAATCAAGATTGACAGTGAGAATCCATGTTTGACACTTGTTTCCTCAGTTACAACCAAGTTTGACAGTGAAAATTCATGTTTGACACCGCCAGAATATATCACAATCAAGAATGACAATAAACCACACAAGTTTGACAATACGCACACAAGTTTGACAATACGCATCCAAGTTTGACACTTCAACTCGACATGTTGACACACGGTTTAAACTGATTGCCTACTTATAAAATCACACGCATTACATAGTAAGGAAGCTCCCGAGTCATCGAGAGCTCTATGTAAACTTGGGATGACATCGAAAGAATTCAAAAAGCGACCCCTTGACTCCCTTTGTTCACCCAAGTACCCGATAGCCTATACATGGCTCTTATCTTGTCAGTGGTAAGCTCTTGCATAGCATCATCACACATTCCTCGCAGCATATTCTCTCGATACTGGTATAAATACATGTGTTGCTCTTCAGCTCTCTGCCTATCTGTTATCGGGTCCCTCTCACTCAACTTCTCCTTGATATAGGCTTTGATCACAGAGAAACATCCGTCACATGGATTGAGTTCAGGCGAATACGGACTGTCGAATCTCCTAACCTCCAGATTATTCGCCAATAGCTGAAAATTCGCTAATTTTTTATGTATAGGCGCATTATCCATATAAATGACAACATTTTCGCCATTAAGAGCAGCAGAAACCCGACCCATGAAATCTCTGAACTTATCGGTCACCGATCCGACATGGATTTCGTGGTGTACGACATTTCCATCGTCACTTATCGCCAATAAAATATTGAGATTCCTACCTTTAGCAGTTCTCTCCTTCCTCTTGGCTCGTTCTCCGACCACAGATCTCGCATAAGATCTTCGAGTCCAAAGATTATAATTTGACTCGTCGATGTGAACCTTCTTACGAATCTCAGTCTGATAATCCTGGCAGTAGGTACGGCTCTTAGCGATATTAGCAGCATTATTCTTGTCGATGGGCACCGGCGTTACCAGCTTCAGAGTCATGAGACTGCCATCCAGGATACGATCAATAGTGGAAGTACTCAGAGCGTTGCCGATCTTCCCGCGGATGCTTTTCAATGTGATAGAAGGGTTCTCGTCAACGGCTTCCAAGACTTGACGACTCAGCTCCGCGGTGACCTTCACTGTCTTCTCTCTTCTTCCACCCCAGGATCCCTTCTATTCTCTATTCTTCTTAACGATTTGATAGGCAGTAGTCCATTTGACGCCAACTCCTTAGCAAAACTGATCCAACCATTACCACCTTCTTTAGCCTTCATAATGATCGCCTTACGAGCAGGATCTTCTACCGTCTTGTACTCACGTGGCATGGCCGTGAAATAAGCGAATGATAAGGACCCCTTATGAGTTTACAACTCACATTGAAGCACTCTCTTTGAAGTGTCAAACTTGGATGCGTATTGTCAAACTTGTGTGCGTATTGTCAAACTTGTGTGGTTTATTGTCATTCTTGATTGTGATATATTCTGGCGGTGTCAAACATGAATTCTCACTGTCAAACTTGGTTGTAACTGAGGAAACAAGTGTCAAACATGGATTCTCACTGTCAATCTTGATTGTAACATAGTTGAACTTTGACAAACTTGGGTTTTCATTGTCAATCTTGATGGTAACATAATTGAACTTCGACAAACTTGGATTTTCATTGTCAATCTTGATGGTAACATATCTCGATTGTGACATACTTGAATTCTCAAAGTTAAACTTGATTGTAACAGAATTGAATTGTGACAGACTTGGATTCTCATTGTCGCTCTTGATGGTAACATTGTCATTCTTGTCTGCTCACTTGTCAAACTTGCACGGGAAAAGGTGTAGACCGAAGCGGTCGATTGGCGGTGTCGAGCCATATCGTGGGAAGCCCAAATGAAACTATCCAAACGTACCAACCGTCTTTTGGCACTCTTTGTCCGTAGCCAACATCGGTTTAAATTGACTCCCACTCAGGGTTTCATGGAGCAAACTGGGATCTGTGATATGAGTCCTAAACTTTTCATAATTTGTTTGGCGGTTAAGGCCACCAAATTAGCGTGTAAGGATATCACATTCATGTCCTTGTCCGTGTACATTCCTCACCGGCTAAGTTGATGGCCTCTACCGCGAAGAAGATTTCGGAAAGGTATTGACTTCCCCTAGGGAGCATGCTTCGTAATTTAATGAACATATGATGTGAAGTTTTGTGCGGAAGATTGCCTCCCTCTTCAGCTGAGTGAACTCTCGAGTCAAGCAAAGTTCGTTTGTCCATGTGGCCCTCCTAAAATCGGAGACTCGGGAGGATCTGAAATCTGCGGTCCAGAGATGTCATTAATGAGTACACGATATCGAGTGATCCCCGTTGGCTTGTGAATCAAACGCTTGCGGCATCAAACAATGTGATGCCATGCAAGATCAAGCTCAGGGAAAGTATCAGAGATTGGTTGAGCGCCAAATCTCGGGAACCGGGCCTCACTCAATCTCCACTCGAAGACAGAGAGGTGTATCTCTGATCGGGCAGGGAGTATAGCGTGTGTTGAAAGGCACTGGTGAAGCCCTTGCTTATGTATACATTGAAAAATTTCAACTTGGAGTATTCTCCAAGAATATGTAGAGGGACAGAGTCCCTGGGACAGCAGTACACAAAGACTTAGCGCGGTAGATCCGCGCTGAGCTAGTATAGCCTGGGGTTAGGATAGAGAGTTAAGATCATATTTTTCCTTTACTATTCTCAAAGTCTTATGGTTGGTAATACTGAGTCTACGGTTAGGGGAGCTGGGGAGCCTCAAACCACCAACATGGCGCTCCACGATGGGTCTGACCCAGCCCCCGCCGGCCAGACGGCTACCAACGAAGGTTCGACTATTAAAGATGATCTTCGCAAGCAACGTACTGGTCTTCGTCGACAGCTTGGTCGTCTGAAAGGTCAGCTCCTGAAGATCCGGTCTGATATCGATAACCTCGTGGCGGTTGATACTCCTTCTGATGATGAGGCCTATGTAGAGTTACTTAGAAGGGAAAAAGAGTCTGAAGACCGCATTGAGGCATTTGAAGTTGATTTGGGTACGGTCCAGCAGCGGTATGATGAGTTATTTCTCACCAATCGACCAAGTATCTTAGCTGTCAACAAGGACGATGATGTGAAGTCGGATGTTATGTCCTACGGATCTATTAAGGTGGATCCTCGTCGTTTGGCTCTTGGTCCTGCTACTGTATCACCGTTATCTTCTACGGATATTAATACCCCCAAGAAGAGGCTTTCTTCTGAGACTCTGGGAAAGATGAAGTTTCCCTCTCTGACGGATCCATATCGTCTACGAGCCCATTTATCTGCCTTCATGCGGATGACTTCAGAAGCTGGTGGTGGTTATATTATGAGGTTATCGAAGTGTTCTCCGAGTGATCTTGGCACAGTTGTTTTGAGGAAGGACTGCTGGAGATGGTGCAAATCGCAGCAGTCTTGGCACTCCAACCGTCGAGAGTTGTACGGGGTACTTCGAGCCTTACAAGCGGCGGCTGATCTAGTAACATCATGTAAGCAGCTCTGTAATCGGAAAGGCATCATCTTCAAGGTCATCCTTCTGTGTGATAATAAGCCGTCGGTCAACTGGCTAGAAAGGTCATCAGCTGGTGCGGTTTCTCGATCGAAAGCGCTTGAACGACGTGCCATCAGCCGTTTACTCAGTTCCTGTGCTGAGGAATGTCAAGTCATTCGTACCGCGATACTGGGGTCTACTGTTGAAGTTCGTCATGTGCAAGGAAGCTTGAATTGTGAGGCTGATTCCTTATCGCGAGTTTTTGAGAGACCTTGTCTGAGATCAGATGGTACCACGACTACTCTGGCCGCGAGTCTCTTGGGTGGGAAAGATGATCCCGGCCACAGCACAATTGCTGAAGTGGTAAAAGACGGCGTGAATTACATCGTGGATGATTTGTCGTATATAACCATGAGAGACCTTGATGCTCATGAGGCAGTGATGGTCGCTGATTCGGTGAAAGCTCTTAGGTGCTCAATCTATAAAGTCGACGATACCGACAAGAACAGTTGTGTAGGTCGGTTGTCTATTGCTGAACGGCTGGCAGCAAATAGTTGGGACTATGGTGTAACAAGATGGCGCGTGGATATTATTCAGAAGGCCTTACGAACATGGCGAACCTTATGTTCGAAGAAGCGGCGAGTAGATCTAATAGCATCGGATGGCTACTCTCCCGAAGAAGGTCTTATTCACAGCGCTCAGTCATTGCTGGCGCCACTTCAAAGGAAGGCCCTTCTGCGAGCTGGTTCCGCAATATGTGTCGACAAGGGTCTACTTTATTTGGAGTTAGGGCGCTCATCTGGCCATCCTTTCCGCCAATTCTACGTCCCGAGAGAAGCGGTAAATCTGCGACAACTGCTCCTCCGTGACGCACATAGACGGTCTGGCCATGGGGGGCGGGAGGCTACCCTCTCCTTCATGGATGCCTTCTATCTACCAGGAGGATGTCGAGAAGCCCGTGATGTGATATTCAAGTGCCTACCATGTCGATTGAATAAAGCTACCCGAGGTCGTCTCTCGGGGCCGCAGCTAGGCAAAAATGAAGAAGAGCTCCTACTTAATTTTCCACCTTACTGGTCTGTGGACATTGATGTGTTATATTTGGGTGAAGGCCATAAGGTGCTGGTGGTTGTTTGTCGAGCGACAGGCCATTGCTCGATGACTCGTCTGTCTTCTGAGGATGGTCCAGGCCTTTTGCACGCTCTTCGGCGAATCCAATTCATGCGTGGTGGCTTGAAATGGATCTACTCTGATAATGCCTCATATTTCTCTTCTCCTAAGTTCCGAGTAGCACTCTCAGTGGAACTAGGGAGTGAGTTGAGGTTATTAGCATCGGAGGCCCCCTGGGAGGCTGGCCGTTCGAATAGGATCCACGGGCTTGGCCTGACAGTTCTTCGCCCTCTCCTACGAAGTAATAGAGGAAGACTTCCGGAAGATGCCAATGAGTTTGACCTCATACTAGAGTTTCTAATGTATACCTTGAACTCTAGGCCTCTTGGTCGGTGCTACGAAGACTCCTTTGGACATGAGTATCCCCTCACCCCGGACTTGATGGTTTTTGGGTATGAACGACGTGTTGGTCCGTTGAAGCTAGCGCGAGGAAAGCATCCTTGCCTTCCCCTCCGAGATGCCGTAAACTTCCGCAAACAATATCTACGTGAATATTGGCGTCAATTGCGGGTTAAGGTACTTGACGCCATTTCCAGGAAGGCCTCCAAGGTAGAAGCTAGGCGTTGGACTCCGACTCTGGGAGAGCCGGTCCTGGTTATCCGCCAAAGGGCGAGAAAATCTGACGTGGGCAGTGCTCTTGCGCATATTGATGCCTTACTCGAGGGTAAGAGAGCTTTGGTGGTCTTCCCTAGTGGCAGAAAGCAGGTTGAGTCCTACGGGAATTTATGCCCTTTTATGAATATTCAGTCGAGCCTGAACGAGGTCAATGGTCCGTCCAAGGTTGGAGCAAGGATACAGGTCTCCATTTTGGATACTACTGGGGACCGAGATTTGTATGATGGAACTATTCGAAGAGACGAATCGGTTTATATACCGCCCGGATCTCGTTGTTTCGTCACGTGGGACGATGGTAGTCCTCCGGAATGGCTTGACTTATCAAAAGAAGATTGGTCCTACAATGATAGACCTCCTCAACCTGCAGTACATCCCCGACGGTCACGTAGAAGTTGATTGTAGTCTCGTCTGCACAGCCTAATCTCTTCGCATAAGAATATGCGAGGGGGGCGTGTAGAGGGACAGAGTCCCTGGGACAGCAGTACACAAAGACTTAGCGCGGTAGATCCGCGCTGAGCTAGTATAGCCTGGGGTTAGGATAGAGAGTTAAGATCATATTTTTCCTTTACTATTCTCAAAGTCTTATGGTTGGTAATACTGAGTCTACGGTTAGGGGAGCTGGGGAGCCTCAAACCACCAACAATATTTTCGATCTTGTATATGCCGACCAAGTATCAACGCGACTCCACATACCTTGGGACAAAACTTTGAACGTGAACGGCAGATACGCCCTTAACCAATCCAGGTTTACCTAGATAAACCTCATTGTCAAAGAAAATGTTGAGAATAATATTTTCACTTGCATCGTGAAGAAAAAACACTCTAGGACTTGCGATCGACAGCTCGATAAGTAACGCCCGGACATCAAAACGCCTCTTGTTGATAACCGAAGATGGATCGAAATTGTCGAGAGAAAATATCTCTAGACGGAGAGGCATCTTCCCACTGAGGATGACCTGAATGCTCCGTTTGGAACTACTATTGCAACGATCGTATCAACACTAGGCTACTATGACAATACGATAATCCAATCAAAGTCCTAAGGAGTGTGAAAAGGAGATTACGAGATTAATAAATGAGAGCACTGCATCAGCAGATGGTTTGGTGGTCGCTGGCAGTGGCCTCGGAAATCCAGCCAGTCGAGTTGATCCACATACCAAAAATTCAGATGTGACATCACGCTCAGGTGAGCTGAGCTTTTCAATGAAGCAGAGCAGATGTTAACAACCGGAGTCCGATCATTTGGCACTTAACCGGAACCGACTATACCAGCATCAGGCAGGGGTGAAGAAGCGAGAGATCACCAGACCACAGTTTGAAGATTCATCAAAAAATAGTCCAAGGGATATTCGACAAATCGATTCGGTGAAAGACATCGCCATCAGGAGAGTACGGGCCTCACGAGTGGCACCAAGACTGCGAACAACTTGTAAGATCTGGACCCCAGATGCTGGGATCAAGGCTGTTATAGATTAAGGCTTGCCGGTCCTGCACACCAAGAAAGGTCAGTGAAGATGGTCAAGATGAAGACTCACCATCAGTCGATTTTCGCATGCATCGGTGAGCAGATTTCCTCCGTTCCTCCTCCCTTGCAGTGAGAACCTCGTTAAAACTTTGCCTAACGAGCTCTTCACACGCTAATCTCAGCCTCATCTGCCGATCACGCGAAGCACCGGGAGCAATCCATTCTCGACAGATCGCTGTTGCCAGGTGCTCGCGTTGTCGAGCCAAATAAGCCTCAAGGCTACTCGACTCTGCCGAAGGCTCCTTCTCGACCACACCGCTATCCATACTCCTTGTAGTTTCATTTCCAAGTGAGACAGAGCCCCTGAGAAGGAGAAACCTCGGCGTACCATGTAGAGCTCATCACAAGGAGTTCAATGTGACTTACCAGTTCATACCGCTCCGCCTCGAACTCTCGGCCGGGAACTCAAGGGGC